TTGTATATTTCGCTACGAAGCGATATAAACTCATGAAGTAATTAGCAGTTCGCCAGAGCTGTGCACTTTCGTCTGCGGCAGCAAGTACACCTGACATAAAGCCTGGGATGTATTCTAAAAATTGTCTATATAACATATGGATCATGTCGGATATCAGGGTTTCCTTTGCATTACTGTGCGTTTTGTTCCTTCTCTTTGGCAAGAATGCAGGTCAGTATCCGTAATGCACTGAGTGTGCACGATAAAAGGGGGTTTGGGTAGACGCAGCCTGCTGAAATGAAATGGAGCTTAAATTAAACTTTTAAGGGATTTTCTGATGTTTAAGTTCTTTAACAGCATCGTATTAGCGATTACTGTAGTTCGTGAAATTGCATAGTTCTGCGTCTTCGGGAATCCACTGATTTGTCTAAATCCGATGGGGAATCTTGCGTATTTCGTTATTAATTTTTTGCTGTTTTTCTGTTATATAGGCATGAACACCTACCCCAAGGCGGAGGGTGTTACATGGACTTCTTCTGATTTTAAGACAATATTAAAATGGGGTCCTGAACCAGTCAACTACACCTATACCGTTGAAGTTTATCGGTGAGCACATACAGACCGCTCGATTGCATGTATGTATTGGACGACATAAAAATCGTTCAGTATGTTGAAACTAAATATAGTGAAACTAGTTTGCATACTTATCTAATTATTAATCTATAGGAACCGTTCCGCGTAAAACAATGTTGTTTCTTACTATGCGAGAAATTAATATTAGTCATAAATAGGGTTGGACTGGGATTAAATATATCGGCCCTAGATTATGGGTCCCCCATCGATTTACCAAGCGATATATTTTGCCGACCGGGGGGTGGCGTGGTTTGGGGGTCCCCCACATACCCTACATCGACCCACCGGGAAAATGCCCGGTATGCCAGGCGGCCAGCCCAGCCATGCTCATAAAGATTACGAGTTCAGAAAACACTACTGCCTAATAGGATCGAGTTGTAACATGTTTCAAAACACGTGGTTCTCGTTGTTCATTCATTGTACTTAGGTGAGTCTAGGTGCACTTCATGATTGTGGTAAATTATTACGGCGCTGATTTAACTGTAATTATCGATTCCTGTTATTTCTATGCTTTTTGAAAGCTTTTTGAATGTTATAAGTTGCGTTTGTTATCGGATTAGCAGGTCTGAATTACATAATGTCCAGACTTGCCAACTTCGGTCTGCTGGCTGAGGTTTTCAGTAAGACACAATTCTGCACACACATTCACACGCTTTTTCATGTATGTAACACTTTTATTACCTTGTAAATAGTCTGTTTGCCAACTGCCCCACCGCTTTCGATGTAGCTCATTTTAGGTTTATAATGGAATAATGTACATTTACAGTAAAATTTCTTGCGCAAGCGTGAGAATCTGGAGGCGTGAGTGTCACGCCAGATGCGTGAGAGTTGGCAACCCTGCTATAATGTGTCATATGTAAAAGTGGTTACTTTGGAGTATTTCGCTTTTTCAGGGCGTAGAACGTATTTATGCCACATACCAGATAACTCTCTTGGGGTAGTTTCTGGGGTAACTTTGTGTCCAATCTTGTGTACTCTTGTGTATCAATGACAGAGTTAGCACATTTGTTTGTGGTGATAATTTGCGACAACACTCAAACACATCAATATATTGAGTCCCCTCTTTGGAATTTGCTAGGTTTAATAAGGAAAATCACAGTGCAAGCAACAGCCTTGCAGTTGAGGGTCACCAAATAGGCAAACTGAAAAAAATAACCCGTTTCATGGAAATATATGTCCAATAAAGAGGCATTAATGTATGTGTTGATATTTCATTGTCTTTTGATATCTGTCTTAGTGACCGAATTTGATTTTGTGCCCCGTTTGAGTAGGGTGTGTACAAATGCAGTATGGAAAAGAATTTATATGACAATGTCTGCTCAACCTAGTGATTAATACAAAAAGTACAGGTGCACAACTGAAGATGTTGAGCATTGTACAACCGTGTGTTTATTAATTTAGCAGTCGCTTTTGTCCAAAGCAACATACAAGTGAGGATCAGAGAGGAGGATCACTCAGTGTCCCTGTAGATCAGGGTTATTCAACTCACGGTCCTCAAGGTCCGAGCACTGCTGGTTTTCCAGCCTTCCTTTACCTGTCAGTCAGGTGTGAAGCCTCTGACCAATCAGAATCAGTAATTATTAAACAACTACCTGGGGGAACTGAAAACAAGGCCTGGATTTGGAATCGAGGTCCAGAGTTGAAGAACCCTGCTGTAGATGTTGGAGCCAACTGTTCATTCACCTTCCAAACACTGGTCCAGTACAGGGTTGTGCTCAGCCTGAACAATACTTAGTCTCAGTATACTTTAGGAAAATATTACTTCATTTTTTTGTTAAATATATTTACAAAAATAGATTGATTGAAATATGATCTAATACAGTGTCCTGAATGCATTTAAGGTCTGTAGAATTAGCTGAGCAGTAAATTAATACATTTGGTCACACTTTGCTTGAGCGATCACAGATAATGTAGTAGTACACTCTTACTGCATTAGTTAACCAGTGTTAGTTATGTACTGATCCCATGATCAACCATCATTAATCAGTCATGACAGTCGTGTATTTCTTGCAGGAACTGTATTAGTTTATGGTTTGTTTTTGAGCAGTAACTGCGTAACTAAGTTAACTGTGCCCTTCAAGTAAAGTATTATCATACATTTTGTGGCAGCACTAGGGGGCTTTGAAATCTTAGCAGCACAAATATCCAGTTACAGTTTATAAACATCTCTAAACATCGGAAGGTCTCACTCCGATTCATTAAACACGTTCTTAGTGGTTCTTAAAATGGCACAACGTTGGGCCCCTGAGTGAGGCCCTTAACTCCCAGTTGCTCCAGGGACTGGCTGACCCTGCCTTCTCAATGGTGTATCCCTTTGGAGGAAAGTGTCTGCTAAAAGAAATGAATGAAATGAGGTTTTTGGCTGCAGATAACACTGAACAGAACATGAAATGTCGCAATCGCCCTTTTTATCAGCCAGGGCAAAGATGGAGAGAAGAATGAACACTGTATCCGGACTGAGAAGACAGACTGTGATTTGACCAGCATGCTGGTTGACCTGAATGCTACATACATCGCTGATATTCTGTCTGAGCCCATGCCGGGCGTGCCTAGCGATGCAGTGGAGCCCCCGTACACCAAATCTCCTCCATTCTGCCCCTACCATGACAGTAGGTATTCCTCACAGTAGCCATCAATGCTAACGACAGCCGAAATCCCGCAGCACGCGTGACCATCTCCATCTCCGTCCAGTTCTGTCACTTTCCATATTTCCTACTCTTTCAGCCGAAATCGGAGCTCCCCGCTTCAAAATTAATGTGACCCAAGACAAAAGCAAAATTATACTTGATATCGAAGACCCTGTCACTGCCATCCACAGTGGCAGGAAGCTGCTTAACATACGGGACATTTTCAAGAGTGACCTGCAGTATAAAGTCTTCTACAGGAAAGCACAAAGCACTGGAAAGGTGAATTCTGTGGCGCGGGACGGGGCAGTGTTGTGCTATATGCTGACTGCCACGACATCCCGTTTGAGCGCTGAACTAACAGTTGGGCCATCTTGACCTTCCTTTGAACAGAGGGAGAAAACTACAAGCAGTAGCAGGCTGGTAGTGGCCGTGGACAGGGGCGTGAGCTACTGCTTCAATGTGCAGGCGTACCTACCGACCCGCCTCGGGACCAAGCAGGATGGGAAGTTAAGCAGCACGCGGTGCTCGCCGGGCGGAGACAGATCAGGTATGATGCAGCTCAGCTCAGGACGACTGAATTACACAAGGTGTCCTGTGGATTTTATAAGTCGCTTTAGTATTCAATTTAGTGGAGTTGGGAGGAGCAGGTGGTATGGGTGGGGCTAGTATAGTGGGAGGGGCTAGTATAGTGGGAGGGGCTATTTGAGTGGGTGGGGTCTCATTTAAGCATGAGAAATAAGTCTTCCCTTGTACTTTCTTGCAGAATACAGCATTGGCGTGATTGCGGGAGGCATCGTGCTGGTCATCATGCTGATAGGGACCATCGCTCTGATTGCGGTATGCTGCAGACGTAGAAAGAGAGGCAGCGATGCAGGAAAAGAAGCAGTGCCTCTGAAGAAGGTGTGAGAGGCAAAGCCTTCCACCCGGGTCATGGGGACATGGTACGACTGAGCCGGATGTGCATACCCTCCTACATTCCTTTGCCAAACACTGGAATTCTTTGTTTTGTTTCTGAGAAACATTGGTAACCCACTAATGAAATAACATGTAAAATGTCTAGAGACATACTTCTCAAAAAAAAAAAAATTAATTGTTTTTAACTAGTAAATGGTATTTTTAAATAGGACGCATAGACACTGCGAAATTTCTTACTGAAGCACTGCGTTGTTTTTTTAACTATTTATTTTTTCGGATGATTTATGGCAGCCTTAGTGCCTTGAAATGGGATATTGGTATAATGTATTTTGATAAATAGTTTACAAGCTGCCCTTAATTTATTCGTTATATGTTAACAGATGTATGTGTATATTATGCTATATTACTGAATGTGTACTATTTAATGGTTTTGGGTTATATTTTTATTGAACAGTTAAATAATGGTTATCGATATTTGAACCCGGGATTTAAATGGTGGTTTTAAATGTAGATGTCCATGTTATGCTAGGTACTAATTATTTCATGATATAGGATACGATTTAAGGGCAAAAGCAGGTATGTTGTTTTGACAGGGTTTAGTAGGTGATTGGTGTGCTTGTCGGGAAAACTCTACTAAAATATATCGCGCAACAATTTTAAGTTAGACTTAAACCTTGTACACTCCTTATGTGCTGCTGTTTTTTAAGCTTATCACAAATATTAAGTGAACTCCCCCTACATTTTTTTTTACAAAGATGTTGTCTGGCATATTTTAATGCTTTAAAGATGTTTATTGAAAAGCCCTCTAGAATTATATAATATAGCAGACTTCCCTGAGATAATGTGTACTGATAAAATAATAACATATACTTTTATTTTATTATACAAAGATTGTATTCCTGTTCCCGTCTATTGTCCATGCTGTCATCTTCACTTCGGACACATTTTTGAAAATCCGGTTCCACATGCTGGGTTTAGCAACATACATTCAACAGCTTCAAATCAAACATCAAACACATAAAAACCCAATACCGATCAAACACATGAAAAACAAAAACAGGGTTGCCAACTTTGGTCAGCTGGCTGGCGTGAGATTTTCAATTCGTGACAAGTCTGCACACGCATTTACAAGTATGTAAGAGTTTTACTACATTATAAACAGTCTGTAGGGTTTGCAAACTACCCGCTAAACGCTTTCGATGTATCCAATTTTAGGTTCATAATGGAATAATAGGGATTATATAGATATTTGCCATATAGATTTACCATAAAAAAGTTTTGCGTGAGCGTGTGAGTCTGAAGTTGTCTGAGTCATGCCAGATGCGTGCGATCGGTTAGATGCGTGATTAGATTTTGCGTTTTGGCAAAGTAGCTTGATAAACACATTTTCCATCTACTTGGATGTAACTGACGAGCATTTTTTCCTGTGAGACCTCGATGTAAGCGAACCCTCCGGAGGTATTGTTGACAGCGCTAGAGAAGCGCAGCCAGGAAGCCGGGAAGCTGCGCCTGTGCGGCGCGAACCGGTCATCGAAGGCGCCGCTGCCGCTCACGGCGTACGCGCTGCCATCGTCCTCCTGGATGAACTGCAGGCACAAAGAACAACAGTTAATACGCTGCTTCAGAGAGATCGCCGAAAAGCCTCTGCAAAGCGCTACGCACAGAACATATTCTTTTAATTAAATTACCGTTTACATCACAAAACTTCATAGAATATATCATTTTTGTTGTTTTTAATAATTTTTATTTATGGATTAATAGCTAGCGCACAAAGCAGTAAATTAGTATTATGAGGCTGTTGTGAAGAATCACATTGGATTTGTCTTTGAGGCACAACAGCTACAATTTTATCGGTCATGGCAGAAAGTAAAGCTTCTCAGACTGACGGTGAATCCTCGAGTTTCAAGCTGTCCTGACAGGAATACAATCACGTTACATTTTTGGGGACTTCATAATGTGGATCGCACAGCATGTGTCATTCCTCAAGTTTTCCTTGTGCACAACCATATGCAGAAATGTAAAGGAACTGCCAGACCACATTTCTGAATTTTTGAAGCAAGTCATGTTGAAGAACACAGCAGTTTACTCAGCACATTACAGGGATGAAACAGGCCGGGGCATGCTGATTTTGTGGGAATGAATGTGGCAAACTTTACCACATTCCACCGCCTGACAGTAATGGATGACCAACCTGTAGGCTGTGATCATGGCCACTCAGATACAGCGTGACATTGTGTTTCTTCAACAAGGGCCTCAGCTTGTCCACTAGGCAGTGTGTGGGACCATGGTGTCCGATAGACCACACCGGGTAGTGACCTGCAACTACCAGGAACTCTGACCTAAGAGAAAAAGCCAAAGATAGAAGATTAGGGGGAAAGCGCAGTTGCTCAGGATCACTGTGAAGCATGACTGTGGAGGAACAGCTTCCAAACAATGCTTTGGAAGACAAATTCTTTGATGTGCCAGATAACAACAGGACGTGGCTGTGTAAAATCTATTGTGTTCCCAATGAGAATAGAAACAAGTTACTTCCTGATGCGTGACTCATATGACCATAATACATGTTTGCTCTGGAACGTAGGTTACAGTACAGTCATTGTACAGTACTGTACCTCAGGTGTCAACCAGGCATTTTAGCGCCTGACAAATGGACAGTGTGATCTTTTGAACCATCCAACTTCTTATATCAGTCAATGGTATTACAGAAAACCTATAGACCTTCAACACCCTGGGAATACATCCAGAAGCACCAACTGCTGAGAACTTCTGTGAGGCGTGAAGAATTTGAGGATGCTGAGAGATTCGAGAGAGAGCATCCACAAACATGCCCAAAGATCTTCAGCAAAAGTTCCTTCAGGAAGAACATGGCTTTCTGGAACTTCCTTGGATATTGAACATTTCTTTCATCAAGTCAACATTTACAAACAGTGTTGGGTCAGAGGTTCATGGAGTGTGTATAATATGTGTCTTTGTACGAATGGTCATAGAGCAGAAGAACATCATACTTAGTGTTCTCCAACTGTGTTTGGATCCAGCTGAGTTGCTTGGCAGCATCCAAATGGTTCTCTGGGCCATGCGGCTGAGATTCCTGGTAAGTGTTGCCACACAGCACCACTGTGTCAATCATGAGGATTGTCAACGATGAGGAAGTCTGTGGAATTTTCAGCTGTAGCTTGTAATAGAGCTCAGGAAAGTGCCTGGGTAAACAACAATAAACTTAGACTAATGAAACGTTTTTTTCCACCGAGAAAACTAGAGAACAAGAAACCGACAAGTGTAAAAAAAAAAAAAAAAAAAAATCTACCATCTTGGAGATTTTGTGGAATAAGATATTTGTGCCGAGACATTTCCTATGTGATCGTGATTTCCTGCTACGAGATACCATGGGAGCTTAAGCAGCGATGAGTGATTGAAGATCTGCTCAAATGTCACCTGAAAAGGCAAAATAAACTACAATTAGTTGAGCGATGCAGAAAATCGTCTCCAAATATCACAGTAAATTTTGTAATTACATTTCTGAGAGAACAACAAGTTCAACGGTTTCTTAAAAATGACAAAACTTGTTACATTTTAACTAACAACTTTTACAGCCAAAAGAAATAACTGAATGATTGTGCCTTTGATTTGAATTCATGTAGAATGAAGGCCTCAGTCCTGATACCCCTACTTGTATTACATTATAAATTAATATAATATTTTAAAGCATTTAACAGAATCACCACCAGATGGCATAAACATCACATATCAGATAATCTTGTGACCTTGGGTTATAGTTTGCTGAGTTAAAGTACACTTTGGATCTCACTCAAGTAATATGTTTTATCTTCATTCACCATGATACCTTGTAGTCTAACGAAGGTCTAAAATTCCAACAGTGATAACAAGAAACAGTGACACCTATTTTTGAAAAATGTATACAAGTATATTGAATATTTTGTTTGGGGAAAAGCTTTGGAACATGACTGTTACAGAAACTTTAAAACAGGTTGTCTAGAGCTAGCTGGTACTTACCTTGAAGCGAAAATCCTCAATATCCTTCACACCGCTGTAGTAGAAGTGGTCACCCAGGCTGAGGATGAAGTCGAGGCCTGTGGCATCAGCTACTCTTCCCAGTTCGACAGCATTTGCCCTCTCCAGGGGGGTGAAGAATGGGTTACCTGGGATACCCCCCCAGTCACCAATGCCAACAAAGCGTAGACTCCCTGCACAATGATAAACAAGCAGACAACAGCAGTAACGTTGACAAATGCTAAGTCTCTAAGCTGAAGTTCCCTTTCTAACAGCACATTGCAGTTTCTCCTTGTTTCCAACACACGACATTGCAATACTTTACCGTGTCCTTGAGGCTCGCCTGTCGACATGAGCAGGAGGACTATAAGCAGCGAAAGTACAAACTGCATATCTGCCATGGATCGCAGGCCGTGGCCACCACCTGCAGGGGAGTTTCACTCAACTATCACGCGCAAAACTCTTTCACTTTCCGAGCTCAGACACAGGAAGTAGCTTTGCAGCTGAGGACTTCCTGAATTAAAAAGGTGAGAAAGTGATTCTTGTTCAATGGTTTCCACGTTAATGAATAAGCTACTGTTAAAATACAAAATTATAATAATAATCATCATGTGATATGTTTTACTTTGGACTAAAGTGTCTGCCACATAAATGTAATGGTATTCATTATAGACTAAGGCATTCTAAGACATTTAATATAACAGTTAAGATAAAACTTTAGCAAAAGTAGTACCTCGTGATTTAAATAGGTATAGGAAAATTTTAACAGAAATGATACCAATTAAAATAGATAATTTTGGTATATGTCAGAGCAGTGTTATTTTAACAAAACTTTGGACAAAAATAATGTCCAAATAGAGTCAAGAAGGTACATATGCGAGGATTATCAATAATGTTGAGAGACTGCTGGTGTCAGTGACCTTTGACTGAGTGTGACATCACAGGCATTCCGACGTGAGGTCATCGGCTCTACCTCATCGTCTACTGGAAGCTTATGGCTGAAGGTTCTTAAACGTACTGTAATGCCTTCCTGAGTGTCCCAGCCTTGTTCCCTTTGCTGCCTGGGATAGGCTCCGTAACTCTGACCAGGACAAGTGGCTGGAAGATGGATGGTTTTTCAAATCAAAGGACACACATAAACTAACAACCATTTCCCTTGTGGAGAATCACCCTGACCCGTAAACCCTTAAGTAGTTTGCAACAGCACCCCTAGCCAACTTCCAGCTTCACCCTCTTCCCATCAAAAAATTAGCAAAGAGATGAATATAGATACTGAGTACAGACACAGTACTTTTCTTAGGTGATTTTTTTAATGAAAATGTACAGTTCAGCTTATTCTAGATCCATGCACATATTTACGGCCTACATTCTTGTGTTGCCACAGTCCTGTATAAAACCAGGAATCTTACAAAGGTGTTTTTTTTTTTTTATTTTTAGTTTTGAAATGTCAAGAAGGTATAATTACATCAGTTTGCAGAGGCAGCAGCTAAGTGTCCCTTAACAAAGTAAAAGAGGAGGCTGGGGCCTTGCATATCTATCCATCATCCCAGACCTTAGAACACGACAAACATTGCATAACAGTTTCTGAACCCACAGCGCCTGGGTATTTCTCAACCCAGGTTCAGTATCAGAGAAGTTTCTGGCTAAACAGACACTCTGAGCACAGTATCGGACATTGTTACATTAGCTCATTAAAACATGCACGCATGCGCACACACACACCTACTCACGCACACATACCTACTCACGCGCACACACACAATAACCGTTAATGTGCTGATTATTTTAAAGGGCTTTTGAGTGGAGAAAAAAATGGGTTACTGGGCCGGATGGGGCTGGGGAGAAGAGAGAGAACATGTCCCGGGCCACTGACGAACTCCAGTTAGGTTAATGCCTTTAAATCAGCAGCAGCTGAAGGCATCTTCAGTAAATCACACACAAAAAAGCAAATGGCTTCACTATAGGTCCAGATCAGTTACTGATTTACCCCGGACACATACGGACCTGGATCCACGTACCCTCCCATGAACTCCCACGACAAACTAAATGGGATTAAAAAAAAACAAAAGGGAAATAAGACAAGAAACATTCCTGGTACTGATAGACCTGGGTTGCCGCCCTTGATCTAGACTAAACAAGATCACACAAGTCCAAGCTTCATAGCTGTACTCTTACAAATTCCATGTTAAAGTAAATTTTATCCTTAGAAACATGACAACAACATATTTCTCTGGGATTAGCCTATTTAATAGTCTGAATGAAGGCAGTCCAGTGTTCAAGACTAGACAACAGATTTTTAATTACAAGTTATGTACAGCAATTAACAAATTTATTATTAAACCATCTTTAGAAATTTAAATAGTGTTATTGGGGACAACGAGTCGGTCTGATTAAAAACAAAACTTTGTGTCTAGCTGACGGCTTGGTTATGTGGCAATCATCAGCCTTGGCCACTGAAGAGCGCTGTGGTCACACGCCACTTATGAGCCAAACTCCACGGTTTCTGCAGTAATTTGTTTGAACTCGTAGTTCCCTCTCCCGTCCATGTGGAGGTAGTACTGCGGGACAACAACAAAATAAAACAAAATGGTCTCAACTTGCACAAGTCCAAGCTCAACTGATTTCTTGATTCATGTTTAGTTGGACCTGTCACTTTAAGAAGGGTAAACAATTATCTATTTATAAGCAAGCTGGCAGGGAGCATAGGGTTATGGTGACAAGAGGTTACATTAAAGGTTATACTGAGCCTGCAAAGTACATTGACCTTATGCATTCAGTTAAATAACCTGCTGCATGAATTGGGTAAAATTTTAATTAGCTTTGCTAATAAAGCATTGGAAACTATTCAAATTTTTTGATTGATGAGTATAAGAAACAATTGGGCAATAGAAACAATAGAAATATTATACAATTTAGGGAAAGGTGCTACAGTGTTGACCATTTCCTGAAACGTTTCTGAAGCGTTTCCTGAGCTTACCTCATGGTGCTTCCACAGGGACTTCCTGTGCGACACTGTGAACAGAGTGATGCCGACCTAAGAAGCAAACAGCGGCGGTGGTTAGAGCAGCCCCACACTCAGCGACGCGTCCCCGTGGATCTCGGCCAGCGCGCGGCTGCCTCGCAGCAGTTACCTTCCTACAGTGGCTGTAGATGTAATCCTCCACGTCAACGCTGACGGCGCTGGTGCACTCGTCCAGGATGGCGAACTGAGGCTTGTGGTAGAAGAGTCTCGCCATCTAGACAGCCAATCCAAGGAACGTGGGGGGTGGGGGGGATACACATTACATAAAGATGAAAATGAATCAAATCAAAAAGCATTTTCATCCATAATTTTAATCACTGAAGCCACGTTCAAAACCAAGGCACTTTTCCAGATATTATCTCTGATGCTCCACCTACCCCAATCTCCCCTATCCTAGTGAGTACAGTATTCTGTATGGAGTTACCACATGAACCAGCTACTGTTTCACACTTTTCTTTTTTTTCCCCTCAACATAATTCTTCCACAAATCTCCAAAGTTGCAGAGATGGTTAATATATATATTTGAAGATCTGTGATGTATGATAGTGAGGGAAGTATCTGATTGGCTGGCTCGTCAAGGTGCTGACTGGTGGAGCGGCTGTATTGTGACATCATACCATCACATGAAGCTGTAGCTGTAACAGGTTTTCCAGGAAAAAAAAAGTAAAAACAAAAAAACCCAACAATGGTGACTAAAGCAAGGGGAGGTGAGACGTAGATGTGGGTAGATGCCTAGCAGGAAAGCCTTTCCTACAGCTGTGTGGTTCTGCTTTCACCATTAGTTCTATATTTTCATATCAGGGAGCAAGGCATAGTCCACAGCTCTTCAAATAAATGACTGTTGGCAGGGGTTGAGCTGCGGAGGACACGCTGTGCGGTCCGAAGGTCATCTCTGAAGTCCCGCGCTGACTGGGCATTAGTTACACTTTAAAGTGTAGTCCCAAAGAAGAATAAAGAAGAAAACACCCACCGCCATCCTCTGCTTTTCCCCTCCACTGAGGACATCCATCCAGTCCTGCACGGTGTCCCATGTGCCTTCTCGGTCTAGAATGTGTCCCAGCTGGACGTTATCCAGATACTCCTTCAGCACCTGGTTTTGGGCCACATGGAAACACGTTTGTCGGGGAGACGGGCCGCACGGCTCTCTAAGACAGGGGTTCCTGAATACGGGCCAGCATACACTGTACATTACTTTTGCGGATCAGAGGATTTAAGAATGATTCCCGGCCTTAGGGCGATGTTTTACGAGCAGAGGTTGGCAGAGCTGAATTTGTTTAGCCTTGAGCAAAGGAGACTAAGGGCTGACATGATTCAGATATACAAGATTCTAAGAGGACTACATGTTGTTCATCCAGATTGTTACTTCAAAATAAGTTCTAATTCAAGAACCTGTGGCCGCAGTCGGAAAGTAGCAGGCGAACCTGAGAAAGAACTTCTTCTTACAGCTTGTAACTGGAGCGTGGAACAGTCTGCCCAAAGGGGTAGTGCAAACTAAGACCCTGGATTCCTTCAAATCTGAACTTGAAAAGATCCTGCCAACTTTACTTTATTAGTTTAATTCCCTCCAAGCAAGCTCGATGGGCCGAATAGCCTCCTTTCGTTTGTTCTTATTACCCATGATTAATATGAAAGTATCATGAACACCACAAGTTGTTTGCTGACTACTTACAAACTTTTTTCCTAACATTTGTTTACTATGGTTGGCTACAGAGGTGGTTAAACTTGCTGGGGGGAGGGGGTTACTGGTGGACTAGATTTAATAAGTTTTGCCATGTACTTTTTTTGTTAATGTGAGCAGGACATACAAATGTTCGGGGAATAGGAAAAAGGCATGACTTATTTATTATTTTTGGAAATTAACCAACCTCTCCCACAAACCCCCAATGTTATGTGGACTGGTGGAATACTGACCACGAATTGGCAGTATGGATTTCCTGCCCTAAGGCACCAAACAGCTCCTTTGGGAGAGTATACCTGGTCGGAAATGCCTTTCTTCCTCTGATCTTCAGCGGTGTCTGGGTAGATCACCTGGTCCCGCAGGGAGCCCAAGGTCATGTAAGGCCTCTGCAGCAAAATGTCACAGACATAAAGTCAATGGATCCCACAGTTCAATGCGATACCAGACAAGGGTCCACAAAAAGGATGACTCTACGAAATGCCATTGAACAGATATTACATATCACTTTGCAATCACTATACCATCCCATCCCACCAGCTAGACACACTACGCAGATTGTCAGATATCACTAATAAAAGATTAAACAAGCACATGTAAAAAAAAAAAAAAAAAAATAGAATACCACAATAAAGTTAAAAACATACCTGAGGAACGTAGAACAATTTCCCTCTTTCAGGTTTGGTGAGACGTCCACCAAAGAGAGGCCAAAGCTTTAAAAAAGATAAACACACGCATTGTTACATCATTACGGATAATGGGTCACATTTAGCCTCTGCAGCTTATATTAAATATCACACTACACT